GACTGGGTTAAGTACGTGACAGGGATTAAGGAGTGTACCTGTGATGAGCACTGGATGATGTATGGAACTGTTGAATCACTATATTGTACACCTGAAACTAATATAACACTTTATGTTAAGTAGCTGGAATTAAAAACTTAAAAAAATCTATATAGACTATCTTCAAAAGAAAATAATATTGAGACATAATTGGATAATGTTACTTGAAGAATCAACAAAAACTGTTTTGTGAAATGTCAAAATATTTTATTTTTTTTTAAGATTTATTTATTTATTTGAGAGAGAGAGAGAGCACACATGAGCAGGAGAAGGGACAGAGGGAGAGGGAAAGGAAGAATCTCAAGCAGACTCCATGCTGAGTACAGAGCCTGATGTGGGCTCAATCTCAAAACCTGAACCAAAATCAAAAGTCTGATGTTTAACCCCAGGCGCCCCTCAAAATATTTTTAAAATAGCATTCTTTTTTTTTCAAAATTCTTTTTAAAGATTTTTATTTATTCATTTGAGAGAGGGAGAGAACACAAATGGTGGGGGAGGGGCAGAGGGAGAGGGAGAAGCAGACTCCCCACTGAGCAGGGAGTCCAACTTGGGGCTCGATTCCAGGACCCCGGGATCACTACCTAGGCCAGAGGCAGACACAACCAACTGAGCCACCCAGGTACCCCTCAGTGTTCTTTTTAATAAAACAATTTTCTTTTTCTGATTATAAAAGAAGTAAATGTTATTGTAAAAAAATTAAACAGAACATGAATAAAGAAGACTCAATCACTTCACTTTTAATATTTTAAAACACAACCATTTATACTATTAAACAAGGTTATGAATATTTTAAATTATAAAGCAGAACTAGCACTGGATAAAACTCATTTACAAGAAACACTGAAAAGGGAATCTGGTTGTTTTGTTTTGTTTTTCTTTTCTAGTCATTTCGTTTTCCTCAATGTCTATATATTTGGTTGTAGAGTATGCCACTTTCTACATAGTCTTCTTAATCCAAAAAAAAGTTTTGTTCAGGGAGAAGAGCAACTGTTGGAATCTACACATCAGAATATCACATCAACTCAGTACACTGTACTCAGTACAACTCAGTACAACTTAGTTCCTATGCATTGTGATGGCCCAACCTGAACATGTTATACTAGCAAATTCCCCACATCTTAACCTCCTTTATTTATCACACAATTATATCTTTTTCATATCTAATGATTAGCTTCCAGGGTGGAGAGAGGTAGAGGAAAGTCCTTTAAAGCAACAACTTCATTTATTTCTAAACTCATAAATCAGTGCTATATGTACAAGGAACCTGTTGGTTAATCTTTGTTTCTTCCAGGTAACATGTATGTAACAAAATACATACAGTAAGTGTGCAAATTCCATTTCAGTAAGTGAAGAAAAATAAAATAAAAAGACAAATGGCAAAACATTCCCGAACAATCCATTCCTACTACTGCCAACCTGACAAAAGAAAAATGTTTAAGCATATTTTAATACAACCAGGTAAGGAGGTAAGTCAATCTCAGAATCATCCCAACAACTGCTTGCTAGTTTATCCTTAATTTCAAATGTCTTCATGAATAATATTCCTGGAAAATGAGCTTTCAGAAATCATGGAAGTTTTCTGTATTTAAAAACAACTGAATTTAAGCCAAAATCTGAGTTTAAACAGATAGGGAGAAAAATGCCATTTTAGGAAACTCTTAAATTCAATGGATTAATTCTGTTATAAAATGTAACTTTCTTAAATTGGAATTAGTGATCTTTAAATTGTGATGGCAACAAATATGGCAGCCACAGTGAAAAGGAGCTACCACGTTCTGAACGTTTTCTATGTGCCAGGAGCCATGCCGAGCACACAGCCTACATTATCTTGTTTAGTCCTCAAATCCAGCCTAACAGGAGGGTACAAGTCTCTGGGTTTTACTGATGAGAAAACTGAGGATTTGCTATCTTACCTAGGAACAAACAGCTTCTGCAGGCCAGGATTTCAGTCCAGGCTTCATACACTGGTGGGTTATAAAGACTTCCAACGCTACATAACTTTAGAAATGACTCCACAGATAATAGAACCTCCAGTAACAGACTACAGCGTTATTGTTTGGCTGTCACTTATAACCAAGTTGGATAATTACCACTGAATACAATATAATGATGAGAATAATGGTTATGCTTTCTATTCTTAAAACACATTAATCTAAAAAAGAGAGAGTAGTTTCAAAATAAGTATTATCTTATTATATAAACACACATTAAAATATGTCAAAAGGAAGTTAAGTGGCTTGCCTTCGAGTTGCATGTGAAACATTATAATAAATAAAAAATCTAAACCTAGAACTTGCCTTATAGAGGCTCCCCTTGCAGCCTAGAGTAAAGCTTTCCTTCTCTACTCTCTTTCATCAAAAAAAAATTTTTCTATAGGAAATCTACAGAGATCTGAAGAAACTATTCAACAAAAACTTAACAAAAGTGAATAAAGGCAATGTCAAGGAAATGCTATGTCCTAGGGTTTCTGTTTGATTACAGACTAAACTGGCAAGTTTGGGCTTACCAGATTGGTGTTTTAATAAAAGAAATTTGTAAGATCAAGGAAAAAGATATCACAAGACATGGAAAGGACTAAAGCAAAAGATTTACGCGAGCAAAAAGAAATAAAACTCAGAGAAATTTTGTAAGGGCAAGGTACAGACAGAGGTACAAAGGTGTGAAGGCTTTTGAGGAAAAAAGAAAGAAAGAAAGGAAGAAAGGAAGAAAGGAAGAAAGGAAGAAAGGAAGAAAGGAAGAAAGGAAGAAAGGAAGAAAGGAAGAAAGGAAGAAAGAAAGAAAGAAAGAAAGAAAGAAAGAAAGAAAGAAAGAAAGAAAGAAAGAAAGAAAAGCAGTAGAGCAGAATAGTTCAATGCATAGGCTTTAGCTCCAACCCAGCTGAGTGTGAATGAACCTCTGTTACTGACTAACTGAGTGACCTGGCATTAATCACCCTTCTTTAGTTTGCTCATCTCTAGGATAAGAATAATAAAAGTACCGATCTGAAAGGGCTGTAGTGAGGATTAAATGTTATATGTAAAACTTAACACAGTGTTAAAACTTGACACATAATTGTTATTAATTATCATGAGGAAAAGCCAGAAGAGGAAAAAGCAATAAACACAGCCTCAGGTTTCCTCTACAGAGATCTACTGAGTCCTTTCTAACTCTATTTACACACCAAACTAAAGGAATCAAAATCTGATTCCCAAATAGTGCATATCAAGTTGAAGATTCTATTTGTGACAGCTGAAAAGTTAGTAGTATTATGCTTTCTTGAATTTTGTTTCCCTTGAACTGGTCTGAACCTAAAAGGCTCATTTCAACTTATCCAAAATGTCACTGGCAAACAGAGGGCAAGACTATACATAACCCAAACCACAGAAATGTTAAACAATTAAATTTTGATTCCCAAACAAGCAAACTCTTGTTCTGAGTATTTATTAAACTGAAACAAAGTCTGATTTTGATATATAGAATACTATTTTATTCTTTATTTTAAACCTTTCTTACATGTTTAAAAATATACATGGGTTCAGAACAACCTCAATAGAATGATGACATTTTCTATTAAAGGACCTCTCAAGTCAAACCACTGGTGTGCAAACACAGTTGGCTTCCAATTTGAAGTCATAGGCACATTTCATTAAACGCATTTCATAAAACAAAGAAATCAAAATGCTGAGAAGAAAAATACTCAGTAGTTTGATATAAACTTTAAAATATCTGTCAGGCAGGAAACTTATAGTAAAAAAAGTAAGATTTAGATGTTTTACCACTCACACCTGCTTCACTACTCTTCCCCAAATGCCATTTTGCTACATCTAAACCCCTGACAATTTATTATACAATTCCATGTAGCACACTAAAAAATAAGTTAATTTAATCTTTGTGTATGAAAACAGATCATTACAAAAGAAAATACTGACAGCTCTTACCTGTATTTGATAATTAAGTATATTGTATTCTCAGCAGTACTAAGAATGCAGCTTGGTCTAATATAAATATCTAAATAACAACTACACAAAAGTATTTTTCTCTTCAAAGAAGTTTTTGTATATTTTTTCCAATGTTGATGACTTAAGCAACATTGATCTATATATTGTGCTAAGAAAACATTAGGCACAGATCACATAATATAATTTACATTTTCTTTGTTGTAAAAAATATACTATATGCAAATGCATATCACACAAATGATTGGTGGACGCAACACTAAGCTTTGTAGACCTAACACAAAAGGTTAATATTTACTCTTAAGGGGTAAAAAAATGGGGACACACGGAGTGTGGTCTGAAAGGGCAATCAATACCTCACTTCTGGGTGAATACTCTGCATCTGCATTAGATTTGTGTATCTTCTTAAAGAAAAACAAAGCTTTATTATAGCAAAAAAAGGTACCACTTTGGGCACATGAACTAAATGAAAAGGAACCAGATAAAAATGTTTACAAAAGCTATTAAAAATATTTAACACAATATCTCAAACAAGCTATAGATTGCTTTATTGGAAGGAATAGATTATTTAACATTATGATTGCTTTATATAGTAGATTCTTTCTTTAGCTAAGACACTTTTGGATTAAGGTACTGAAGGATGCAGATCAAGAAAAATGGAGAGAGAAAAAAATAGCAGGCTGTTAGAAAGGGGGTGGAGGGTTAAGCATAATTTTACCCAGAAGAAACAAAAATACTGTTTCTTTTTGTTTATAGCGGAAATTTTATGCTGTGGATATTATAAAAACACAAGCAAAAAGGTTATGTGGCAGGTAATAAAATACAATACTTACTACGCATCCTTCATGGAGAAACCATTTATGGATTGCAGATTAGTATGTTTAAAAGTATACTTTGATGCAAAAAATTGTACTTTGCCACATATATAATATGTAGCATTTTCCTATAAAGGGTAATTTATGTAAGTAATTTCCACAAACACAAAGAGAGTGAGAGAGACAGACGGACAGAATGAGAGGCAAAGACAGAGGAGAGAGCTCAGCCAGAGAAGACAGATGCCGAGGGGCTTTGCTCATGTCCTGTGGAAGATCTGAGATACTTTTTTCAATACTTTTTTCATCCTCTGTGCTTAATTTTGCTATTACTGTACATTTATATTCATACACTACAATTATCTCATGAGATTACCCTCTATACATTCTTTTCTCTAGTTCCCCACCACCACCATGGAAAAAGAGGGGAAAAAAAAAAAAAGAAAAGAAACTTCTAGTCCCTTCATCTCATAGTCAACTATTCAAGTAAATATTTCTCTAGTGGCAAATTTCCAGATGAACCAAGAATACAATCCAAAACTCCTACAGATTACATTTGAATTCTGTATAGTTCTCTTCAAATGGAGCAGGAATTAGCCCGTTTCCGAGGTTTGGGGTCTCGTGCTTCCTGATCCTTCATACACATACAGGACGTGCACATTGTCTCGGACAGTCTTCGGAGGCCTAGCCGGAAAACACTGTTGGAAAGGCTATAGATTACACAGTTACAAAAACTATTACTTATAGCAAGCCAGGTTGTTAGGAAGGACAGTGTCGGATTGTCCAAGACCCGGGAGCTTTCTAGAAGAAAGTAAATTATGTAAGGGAGCCACAGCATGTAAAACACACTGGTTATCCGAAATAAAACCATGGCATAGCGACGGTCAGGGCTGTGTCCAGTCTCCCCAGAGGCATCTACCTCGTGGCTAGGAAATCGGGCCCTCCGGTCATTTATCTCTTTGGTGTGCTGCCGGCAAATTTTGAAGATGTGGAAGTAAGTGAAGCAGACAACAAAGGCAGCAGGAGCATAAAGTAAACAAACAATAAAGCCAGTAAAATAGGCACTGGTGAGCCAGGAGGTGGCACACCATTCAAAAATGTCGCCGTGGTACCCTGGTTTCCCCCAGCCAAAAAAAGAAGGCAAGAAAATTAGGCAAGAATAGATCCAGATTAAAATAATGCAAATTCTCAGGCGACAAGGGGTGACCAGTTGATTGTAGGAAAGAGGCTTGGTTATTGCAAGATAGCGATCCACACTTATGCAAGCAAGACATGCCATAGAAACACTTTTTAGAACGGAGATGATATATCCAAAAACCTGGCAAGTCAATGACTCATGGATACCTGTGGAGTAGTGAAGAAGTGAGAGAGTAGGAACCAAGCAGCTAACTCCAACGAAAAGATCAGCATATGCCATTGTCTGAATAAAGTAGCTGGTAGTATAATGGTGCAGGAGTGGAGCACAGTGAAAGACAAAGATGACCGTTAAATTCCCAGCAATGATTAGAAATGTCAGCAAGACAATAACAACGGTCTCAAAGATGCACACATCCACTGCACTGTAGTAGCCAAATCCAAGTGGGCAGGAGTGACGTTCAGACACATTCACAATGCCACTGCTCATGTTCAGGATGCTCCATTCAGTCCACCTGGATTCATTCATGGCTTGGAATTAAGGAAACGGGTAGCCTTGGTTCCAGCAAGCAGGCGCCCTGTCCAGCATGTGTTAAACTCTGCACATTAGTGTCTTGGGATCAGCTTCGGTAGACAGTGGCAGTGCTTCTGTCACAGCTGAGCCTCCCAGAGAGTACTCAAGCCTCTTCATCAGCTCAGTGCAGCAGTGACACATCTCAACTTTGGGTGGGTGTGGGGGGGGGGGAGAAAGGGAGGTAAGCTAGAAAGGAGGTGAAAAAAGGTCACTGATTAGCTTCCTCCAGTGCTCTCAAACAACTTCTGAAGACACAGGCACTTCTAGAGAAAATGGATTTCTTATTACCTTGCACTATGAAAAATTAAATCTGTAAAAAGAAAAAAAAAATCAACTGACAAAGGAAGAAAAGCTTTTGTGCGGTGTTTGTTCTCCTCAGAAAGGTAGTTTGTTAGGGATCAATTAGAATGAATGAGAAGAGAAAAAGTCTTAAATTGTCTCAGGCTTTCTGCTTCATCTATCATAAGTGGATTCATACTTTACAGTTTAAATAACTAAGATCTAAGATCTAGTCGCAAATCTAAGAAAAAGTTAATTGCAGCAAAAAGTGTCTTTGGACTCAGTTCAGGGTTTGATGCTGATGGATCAACTTCATGATCTATTTCTCTCTCATTTCTCAAAAAAGCTAACTCCCCCGACAAACACACACACGAGGTTAATTCTAAAAGACTCAGCTCTACTTGGGCACAAAGGAGCAGAGCAGAGGTAAAAGACTCCAGATTGTCCTATAACTCTCATGAGGAAATAAAAGCTTATTTCCAGTAGGGAAGATAATATACAATGGGTTAACACCTGACAAAAGATGATAAACTTTAAAGTTTTAATTCTGCATGCAATTTTTTAAGCATTCAGATGAAAACAGTTTTAGTCCATCACAATTACTAGTGCTACCACCAACAATATAATTTATACTTTTTCCTTTTCAAAGGGAAAATAAATAACTGTTATTAATTTCAGCATCAATAACTGAAAGTAACTTGCATTATCTGATATGCCACCTTCCAAATAATGGAGCATGATCATTAAAATAATAGCTCAAAGTTATTTCTCACCCTCGCAACCACACCTATACCTCACATATATATGAAATTTAGACAATAGAAACTTTCCTATATACTCTGAGCTTACTTGACCAGAAATGCTGCCATTATTTATTACTTAGGTATTTCTAGTAGGCTTTGTAGTCTACGTTTCTATCTCTTCTATTTTCATCAGAGGATTAACACATTAGATCGTTACTTCGACTAAATCTTCTGAAAGTGGAAAATTACCTTGTTTGTTATATTTGCAGTTATATAGCAGCCATATGTTAAGAAAATGCCTCTTCTATTTCTGTATTCTATTTTGATCAAGTGCTCAACTAATACAGGGGCCATTAGGTAGGTTATAAGATGGTCTTATTTTAAAATACCTCTAAAGCATCAAGGTGAGTTTAAATCCTAGAGTTTGAAATACTGAAAGGCTTGCAGGATAGAATCCATCCAAAAGGCTTCCAAGGTCATTCTGATTATCAGGTGAACATCTGTCAAAAGCTTTTTTAAAGTACACGTATTTCAGAGAGTTTCTTGTCAGTCTTTGTTGTCATACCTCTTGAAGAAATAACATGCATTAGAAATAAAAACATTTCCTTCAGGAACAAAGCAGCAGCTTAATAGAAAGCATTCTTCTGAAAGTTGTTTTCTCGTGCACCACCAAGTCATTCAGGGAAGTCTTTCTTCTTTTATAATAGTCACAGGATATTCCTCCTTGTACATTCCTAGTTTCACTTATCACAAAATAGTTCTCTTCTTACAGGAATAAGGCAATGCTTCTCACCTACATTCACTCTTATCAGCTGCTAGGCTGGGCTGCTTGATTCAGAAGTCCGATCTACTGTGATGCAGTTACCAGGATGCTGTCGGTATATTCTTCACAATCTCTCAGTATCACTGCCTCCACCTGAGCCGGAGCCCTGCTCCTCCTCCTCATCCTGAGCTGATGCAGAAGAACTCACCATTAGAAAGGTGACTCGGTCCTCCTGCCCCAATCAACAGCACAGCCAATGGCTACTGCAGCTGAAACTGTCACTAGGTAACAGTTGCCAGGCACATGCAGGCTTATAGACTTACTCGGCAAGCTCCGATCAAGATTGACAAGAGAAGACAATGCAACTGACCGAGCCTTATAACATATTAATGGCACGTGTGAATCTCTAGAGGTAGTCTCATTATAGCATTTGTAAAGATTATTTCCTATGGACAGGACAGAAAAAAAACAAAAAGCAAAAAAAAGCACTGGGATACACCTTTAAACCCTGTAAAGAAACTACCACGAGGTACTATGACACTAAAAAGTCAGCAGAAATCTAATGCTCACTGGCAGAAAAAATGTATTAATTATTAAAAATCAGCTAAGTCTTCATGAACTCAAGTGATATAGCTACTAATTTTACTCTCTAAAATATAGTTATATTTTGATTAATAGAAGTTAAATCATTTAATAATCTCACCAATCCCTGCCACACCCACACTAACTTGCTGAATTTGATGTATTTAACTGTATAAACGAGGCATTGGAACTAACACCTCTATGCTAAAATCTATTTGGGGAAATATTTAAGGTCAAATGTGAATTTTGAAAAGTAGGGATTAGAAATAAGTAGAATGACTGTTTACTCCACTTTTTATCCTAATATGAAAAACAATCAGAGTCAAAGAACTCTGTCATATGGTGATTGAGCCACTCATACCCAAGTTAGAAGAAAGCAAATTAAGCTCCTTTACCTGATGGAGGTGAAAAACATTTCCATTTATTTTGACTTACTATAGACAAACATTCTCTATTTTAAGCATTTCCTTATGGGGTCAGCACTTTTCTTTAAAGTGACTTAGAATTAATTTACAAATTATTTCAGAATTAAATAAGGAAAATTAAGATGAAAACGGAAGATAACTAACATCTGTTGAGCACATTCTGTGTGCCAAGCATTATGCTATGTGCTTTATATATTTTCTCTCTATAAAAACCTTAAATCTTTATGGAGTAGGTACCCATCATTATCATTTTCCAAAGGAAGAAGGTGGGTACTAGAAAAGGTAAGTATAACTTGCCTAGTAGAGTCATGAAACTAGCACTGAAATAGGTCAAAACTGTCATTCCTAACACCTTATTGATGAACCTCTCTCCCTCCCTTTCCTGTCCACTGATGGCTGCCACTAAGGAAATGTCTAAGAAGAATTATTTTGGATTTCTTTCTCTTTTTTTTTTTTTAGATTTCATTTAAATTCAGGTTAGTTAACATATAGTGTATTATTATTTTCAGGTGTACAATTTAGTGATTCATCAGCTGCATGTAACACACAGTGCTCATTACACCAAGTGCCCTCCTTAATGCCCCTCACCCAGTTACTGCATCCCCCCACCCACCTCCCCTCTAGCAACCCTGTTTGTTTCCTATAGTTAAAAGAGTCTCTTACGGTTTGTCTCCCTCTCTGATTTCATCTTATTTTATCTTTCCTTCTCTTCCCCTATGTTCATCAATTTTGTTTCTTAAAATGATTTTTAAAGAACAGAAAACCCTATTTTTTCCTTCATGTTGAACTGCCTTACAGGAAGGCCATGTTATTGTTAAAAATCTTCAGGGGCTTAGGTGAAATACAGAATGCAAGCACATTTCTCATTACCAGAATAATTTATAAAACAAGTTAGAATAACAATTGTAGAATGTAGAATGAGTACAAACATGTTGAGGTTTGAAAGTAAATATTTAAATGTAATAACAAAAGTCTAGAAGGTCCTATTTTACAGGGAAGTATTTTGACTTTTAGGGATACCTAAAAGCTTTAAAATCAAACAAGACTGGATTTAACTAACATTCTCTTTTACAATATAAATATTCAAAATAAAAATTACATTTGATAAATATTCATGAATGTAGACAGAACCCATACCCCATATTAAAAAGTTAAATACTAAGCTTTACTATAAAACCATCGAAAAATAAAACACTATCAATTATTAAAGTTACCTATGTCATACAAATCTAAATAAACCATTTACAAGGATAGACTACATATATTTTTTAAAGATCTACTCTTTTTTTTCCTAAAGATTTTATTTATTTGAGAGAGATAGCATGAGTGGGTAGGTAGGGGAGAGGGACAGAGGGAGAGGGAGAAACAGACTCCCCGCTGAGCAGGGAGCCCAACACGGGGCTCGATCCCAGGACCCCAGAATCATCATCTGAGCCAAAGGCAGATGCTTAAGCGAACAAGTCACCCAGGCGCCCCAGCCTTTACATATTTTTAAAATAGCTTTGAATGTAATATTTTCAAAATCAGGGAAATGGCAAAAAATCTCACAGGGAAATACAACTAAATTGCTTTAGTTTGACACATTTATTTCCAAAAACTATCACTGACAGGGATTTGAGTCTATGAATACTCTAAATAATCCATAATTGTACATGCTTCCAAAGGTATATGATAAAAAAGAGAGAGTTCAAGTAGAGCCTTTGATGTACTAAGCTTCCTGCTTTCCTTCTACCAACTTCCAAAAAAACTTCAATGGTTCTGGGGCGCTTGGGTGGCTCAGCTGGTTAAGCAACTGCCTTCAGCTCAGGTCACGATCCTGGAGTCCCAGGATTGAGTCCCACATTGGGCTCCCCGCATAACGGGAAGTCTGCTTCTCCCTCTGACCTCTCCCCTCTCATGCTCTCTCTCTCTCTCAAATAAATAAAATCTTAAAAAAAAAAAAAAGCATAATCATGTTTAGAAAAAAAAACTTCAATCATTCTAAGATAATTTTTTTTTTTAGAGATTGACTTGTTCCCTCACTTTTCTCCCTTTCCATCCTTTTTTCTGATCTGATTATAATAGGAACTAATTTATAATGTGCAGCTCTAATAACAAAAAGGCATTAATATATATTTACATAGCTCATTACATAAAGCACTCTTTGTTTTTAAATTAGGCAAAATTCTCTTCATGTTAAGGGTCATTAGGTGTTTTATT